AGTTGTGAGCTCTTTAACAATGACCTCATCTAGTGGAGTGGAAATTTCCTGGTAGGCATGGTGACAGCAGTGGCAGAACTGAGAACATTTAGCAAGATGAGAGAGACCGAGAGAAACAGACCCCAACTCACTGACACAGCAGCAGCATCACAGTGAAGATCATCCCCCCCACTCTCTCTCTCTCTCTCTCTCTCTCCCCCTCACACACACACACACACACACACACACACTCAACAGATGAAAACTTCATACATCTGTGTGGTGTCACAGAGAGCACATTACAGAGATATGCTTGTGTTGTTTTAAGCCAGGTTTAAGCTACACTAGGCTGCAGTGCTCAATGGAGTAGGTAGAGGGCACTGTGGAAAGAAAGCGAGGAGAGAGAGAACAAGAAATGTATGTGGGTCACTCTCTGCACTAGTGATGTTTTTAGCCGTCTTAAAATACTGCACCGTCCCCACAGAGCTCTGACCCTTTCCCACTCACTCCACACACACCTTCACCACACACACGTTACACCTTGCACACATGTCTCTTACACACACACCATGGCAAATCTTTATGGCACAGGCTCACTGTTGCGGGTAACAGGGTGCACACTGCACATGTGTTGTGTGGGCTGTGTATTGCAGTGAAGAGAGAATGGATCTCTTCTAAATATGATGTTTGTGTAGATGAAATGGGCAGAATGTGAGCTGGCCAGTCGCCAGAGTCTCAGCGACAGCCGTTTTCTCACAGTGCTCTAAAAATAAAAACGCCTTTATTTCAGATCTCACCAATCAGACACATCCTGCTCGATACAATCACATTTACACACACAAACACACACATACACAAAAAATAAACATACCTACTCAACACACATTGTCCCTTCAGTCACGATGTACTATTTTGACAAGCTTTAAATTAGCAGAATTTACAGCGAAAATATATTTATTTATTTAATATAACTGTATTGTATCATATTGTATGTTCATTTATTCATATTATTTATTTGTATCATTTTTATGTAAGCAGATTTTATGACTTCATATGCATATGCTACTGCACTATAAAAAGTGATCAGTTGGCTTAACTTAAAATGGGAGGAAACCCATTGCCTTTAAATTATTAAGTAAATAAACCATGCATAATTGAAAAAAATGTCAAGTTTATATAACGTAATTTTTTCAAGGCAATGGGTTTCCTCACTTTTTCAAGTTAAGTCAACTGATGACTTTTTGTATATTCATTTTTGAAGTGTTCATATAAATGTAACTAATAAAAGTATTTTAAAAAGCTTATGAAAATTAGAATCAAACTGACATTCAACTCACCCACATATATACTCATCACAAGGTTTGGATGATTGACTAGTCGTTACGTATATTTGTTTATGAATTTATGAGATTTTATAGATTTTTTACAGATATTTAGCCATGATGCTTTAACTAACATAGCATGCAGTTAGTCACAATAAAATCAAATGCTATATTTTTCCTGCTTTAAAGTAACACCACTACGGGCATACAATTCACATTAAGACAAATGTATTTTGCCATTGTGTCACATCTCACACAGTTTTATAGCGTCCCACTATGAGTGTTGCATTTTTAAGGCGGCATGTCAAGTTAAAAATAGTCCAGCTTGAGACTCTTGCATTCTGTTCCATTCTGTTGCACTCCATCTAGCTGTTTTTCCACACAAGAATATAAACGCTTGCATAAATGCTCCTCAAGGAATATGTCCAAACGGGGTCAGGTAAGCCCAAACCCAATTATATAGGTTTTCTTAAAACCAATTATTCGACTACTTGTTCAAGCAACAAGCCTAATATGATGCTTCTTGTAGCAGATGTGAAAAGTGTTACCAGATATCTGGATTGTTAAGCCTAACAAATAACGGTGTGAAGTTCCTTCTTGATTAATGATGTTTTTGACACTAGCCTCCTTTCATATGTGCTGTCTGGCTGCTGATGAGTTCCTGTCAGTCGCTGCTCCACAGGTGTTGGCTATCCACTGAGAGAAGTGGTGTGAAAGCAACTTCTTGTTACACAAAGTTAAATGCCACAAAATGCAGTTTTACCAGCAAGTTTAAGTCTGAGATGAATGTGTTAGACCTGCTGTACACATGGGTCCTATTCAAATCAGTGAACATTACCAAGAGGAGAGAGTTTTATGGTTGAACGAAAAACATACTATCTGTGGAAGGGAGCAACAGATAAGTGGATAGTTAACGAAGAGTTCTTTGTTTCAGAGTAAATGCACTTTCTGCTTTGCAGGTTGGCTGCATTGTTACCACGGTAGCTGTGCATTTTACCATCACCAAGGATACCATATCCATGACAACCTCTACCCATCAAAAGATTCCATTCATAGCCCATAAGAAGATGGGTGTACTGTATGCATCAAATGAAGGAAGCTGCACTTCTAACCTGCCTATAGTGAGCAACATATGGCTTCTGGAAGTAAAAATCCAGTTCATTTTCTCCATATGTTTAATGAAAATGTAGAGGTTTAAATGACAGACCTACCAGCTCTGAGCCAAGAAGTCAATGTGTACATGTTTGATTTCTGAATTCCTATAAAAACTACACTACCCATAATAGTGAGGAGAGCTAGCTTTAACAATGAGCGAAGACACTGTAACCATGAAAATAATAAACTGGTTAAAACCCACTGGCATTAAGCAATGCATATGATGTAATCAATTCAGTAAAAGCCCACTCCCATGAAACATTGTAAATGACGTAATTGGGTGTCCTTACACTTTCCAACAACTTGTATAGCCAGCTCTGCATTATTTGTATGTGCTTTAATATTTTAAAATAAACTTCAAATGTATTGTATTGTATACTTAAAGAGCACTTCGTGGATAGCGACAATCTGTATTGAGTATAGGCCTTGTTCACACAAAATAAAGAAATACTGTATGAAAAAAAAAGAGTTTTAGTGTCAGTACTACATTAAACTACAATATATAATGTTGAATATATGTATAATGCAATGGAGGTATATTTGTGGCTCCTGATGATGCAAAATTTCTAGTAGTACCAGTAAAAAGTAGCCTACATTATTTTAAATATATCTAGTCAGTGACAAGTCAGTGCAAGCATATTGGTCTAAAATAATTCTCTATTTTCAGCTTCAGAATCGTAAATATTCTGGTGTCATCAAGTCCAAAAGGTTTTTAACCTTTTACCATATGTCTTGGAGTAGCGCAATAATATTGTTTTGTGAGTTCAGTATCGTGATATGAATTGAATGAGGGTATCGTTACACCACTATTTTATTTATATAGTACAGTTATTTCTCAGATAGGTAATTCTCAAATGCTTCATGGGGTGCAGTTTATTGCCTCATAAAATACCAAGTTAAATTAACCAAGACTGCTGCAAATGTAAGCGCAATCGCTGCTTGGCCATTAGCAGCATGCCCTAAAACTGTGGATACAGGAATACAATGTAGCTTCAGATCTCAAAGCTGATGGGTAGATGGATTAGTGTTACTCGGGCTACGGCATGAAGCTCTGAGAGGTCTGAGAACTCTTTCCACAGCCAAACATCCAGATTAACCACACACTCCATCGTTCTGCATTCATCCAAGCTGAATGTACTGTACATTGAGCACTGAAGCACACAGGCTGTTCTCAGGCTTACAGAGCTCCATTCTCTCTATTCTAGTTTCAGCAATACGCACTTCAAGATCTTAAAATTCAGCATAAGTTCTAAAACGCATGTACAGTTGCTTTGATGTAATGTAAGATTTAACTTTCCCCAACACTGATCACAACTATAATTACCATATCATCACTGCCATCTAACCACTTCCATCATCACATTACCACAATATAATACTATCATCAATATCATAACTGTTGCAACCATTATTATCGTCACCACTACAGTCACATCACCACCACCATTGAATCATCCTCACCAGTCACCACTAACTTCAGCATTGTCAAATCACCATCACAACCAACACTATACTCGTTGCTACTATCATTGGCATAATCATCATCACCACCATAATCATTACCATGACAACCATTTTCATTTCTCACCAGTAAAACCCTCATCGCATATGCAAAATCACCACTATCATCAACAATACCATCCTCACATTATTATATAACCACAATCATCCCCACCACCATTACCATTATCAATTAAGGCCAATTTATACTTCTGCGTCGGGGGTACGCCGTTGGCTACGCACGTAGGCGACGCCGTCGTGAGCATTTATACTTCTGCGTTCAGGTCTTGGTTGCTCTGCAGTACTGCTCCGAAACACTAGTTGGCGGCGGAGGGCATTAATGTTCTGTGTTTAGATTCATCGCGGCTAGGTTACTACAAGCAATGGCGAGTGAAAGAGAGTGGATCATGTTGGAGTTGGTGCTTATTCAAGTAGAAAAACAGTTAATTTTAGTGAATTTACTAAAACTAAAAGGCAGAAATGAGAGAAGACGTCGGAGGAGATGGTACGTGCGGAAATGCGTGAGATGGAATGTGAGGAAATGCGATGCTACCAAGCCGACCAATCACAGATCTTGCGGTCCGCGTCGTCACGACATGTAGTTACATTTTTGAGGAGGTGCGCGTCAGGCTACGGCGAAGGGTACGCGGTATGGTACGCGTCTGTGCGTATGCTATGCCGTACCTGCTGCGCGCACCCTACGCAGAAGTATAAATTGGCCTTTAGTCACAACCAGTATTATCTTCACCATTACATCACTGTCACAACCATCCTAAATTCTACTATCATTGCTATAATCAGCGATATTATCACCATTACCACATAATATTAATCACTATTACCACCATCACCCCCTCACATAACCATCAAAATCATCATCACCATCACAACCAATATACATACTCATCCTCACTACAATTGGCATATATATACACATGAGTACTACCAGGAGCAGCACAAACATTATAATTATAAAGAGTATCATAATGAGCAGCGTCATTGTGATAACTATCAAATCATCATCATTTTTTACACTTTACTTACCAGGTTTGAGTTGGTTGCGTTGGAATCATCCTCAGGGAAAGGGATGTAGACAGCTAAGGCCACACAGTTTGCAAAAATAGTCATCAAAATTATGATTTCAAACGGTCTGAGGAGTCAATGTTAAAGGAAATGACATCAGAGCTGGTGCATACACAAAACAAAAGGAGAATACACACAGACATACAGTACAGTGCATGTTAACTCTTAACATTGCAGACGATAGTGTCTAAGGGTCCAGATCCACTATTGTCTTTTTTTCCTCCATCCAACTCTTTTTTCTTTTCTTTTCCATTAATAGCACGGCTGAGCTCGTCAAAAACCTGGCCTTCATCAAGACAACGATCTTCACCACCCCCCAACCCCCAACCCTTTTCCTCCCTCTCTCTCTCTCTCTTTTCTCTGGCCAAATTGTTTGTTTGGCTTTCAGTTTTGCTGGAAATGCAATCAAACTGTGTCATCATTTGTTACAGGAATGGATTTCTCCGAGATGGGTGTTGAGTCGCATGGCACGTGTCCTGAGGAGAAACAGATGTGTTCTTGTTTTTCTGGATGTTTCTCTTGTATCTGCCGTCTGGGCCTTGAGTTATGGCTCTCTGTGGTTAGTTCAGAATTACAGAGCCATAGACCCTGTAACCCGTTTAGATAAACATGCTTGTAGATCAGTAGTTCAGGTCCCTAAGGGAGTAAAAACAGCCCATTGTATGCAGCCCCAAACTGAATTTTATCTTTAAAGCTGTTACAATGAAATAAATAACACTTCTATATATACTGTATGAAAGCTGCTTGATGGTGGATTTAGTATGAATGTGCATGACCGAATGCGTGTTTGTAGGAGGGGTCAATATGCGTGTGCATTTGTGTTTGAATGTGGGAGGGGTGAATATATTTGTGTGTGTGTACGCGTGGACCTGTTCAGCTTGTTGAGAGGAGCTGTTGGCATGGCAACAGAGCCAAAGACAGGAGAGCTAGGCTCCGGAGTCTCTGGAGATACAGATCCAGTCAAGTGTGTGCAAGACTGAAGACAAATATGGATGGGACCGGCAAAAGATTAACTTTTATAAAATATCCCACAGAAGCTAATGAGGGGAAATATTTCACTGTCTCCACAGTTCAGCCGTTCCCGCATGCCGGTTTGTGAATTTATGAGGAAATCTTTGATGATGTGATCAGTTCTTGGCTGAAACTGTGAATGGGAGCTGGATCTCCTTTTCCCGATGAATGAAGCATTTTACTCAACCAATCAATCCTCATTAACATATTTTCCTGGTTGGGGGCCTATCGGTGTCTCTTGTGGGCCGAAATTATTACACACAACTGTAAGAGGGGAAAAAAAGAGAAAGGAAGAGAAGAAAGGGGAAAAGGACAGGGGAACATGCTGTCCTACAGTCTCCAGTAAAAGGACAGTTGAGGGGAGAATTTAAATGACTCAAAGCTAATCTTGATTTAACCCTTTTTGGAATTTGGAGAGGGAATCATATCCAAATTACACCATTAAACAAAAACACTATAAAAGCAAACCAGAAAATATTGCATTTACACCAGTAAGGTGTAATAAAGTGGCTATAATGCATCTGTAATTCTAACAAGCAGATAACAAGCAGATGCATTTACGACTGAGATCTAATTCTGAGACATTTTTCCTGAAGAGTTTATGAGCATTGTGTATTTGTAACACTGATAAAATGACACTCAAAAAAACAACAGTATCCTCTGCTACCTGCTGAAGCAATCATCATAAACCCAATGTCAATGTGAGGGGATTTTGTCGGTCAGGGAGGAAAGTGTCTGCCAAGAATACAAATGTATAACTTAAAGATAAAACCGAACCTTCATAAGTATTGGCTGCTCTCTAATGTGACATCAGTTTGAGCATCAGTTCACTTCACCAGCTTGTCATACTCATGTGCGCTCTTTCAAACTAAATATGTGGTCAGATACAATATACACACTACTGTTCAAAGTTTGGGATCAGTACTTTCTTTAAATAGAGTAATTAATACTTTAATTTACCAAAGGATGCATTATATTGACCAAAACTCACAGGAAAGAATGTAACCGAGTCTATTTCAAATAAATGATGTTATTTTGAACTTTCCAGTCATTAAAGAATCAACCGGATTACAGTTTCCACAAAAATATTAAGCTGCACAACATTGATAATAATAAGAAATATTTCTTGAGCAGCAAATCAGCATATCAGACTTATTTAAAAAGAATCATGTGACAATGATGACTGGCGTAATAATGCAGAAAATTCTGATTTGCCATCACAGGAATTTAGCACAATTTTAAAATAGAAAACAATTATAGATTGCAATAGTATTTTACAATATAACTGTTTTTACTCTATTTTTGATTAAATGAAGGCACGTCTTTCAAAACATTAAACTTTTTACTGACCCTAAACCTCTGAACAGTAGTATGTTATATCAGCAGGTCAGAGTTCAGAAAAGGATACTTCCATTCCACGATATTGATGCACGCCCTGCGGATGGGGTTTTTAAGAGTGAGGCAGAGAAGGGCTCGGGGTGGGCGTGTGGAGGCAGTGCTGGCCTGTTTCTTGGGTTTGGTGTAGTGCTGGCGTTTGCGCTGCGTGGAGCTCACGGTGGAGATCGGGGCTCCGGTGGTGCCCATCAGCTTGGCCTGCCGTGCCGCGTCGATGGCTGCCTGCCAGCTAAGGGGGGCGCCAGGGGTGGGAATGTGTTCAGGTGCAAGACCCAACACCCCACCCCCGCCCCCCACACCCTCGTCCTCATTCAGACTGGGGACCGGAGCCAACGACGGACTGGAATAGTTGGAGCCTGAAGAGGAATAGAAGGAAACAGTGAATGAGCATGAGCAGAAACACACACAAAAAAAGAACTTCTACACAAAACACAAAACAAGTTCTGTGAAGGTTTTGTCATATCCATTTTTATTTTTATTTTATAAATTGATTTAATTGGCATCTTTTCTAATGTCTTTTAGGGTAGATTTAAAAAGGTGAAATAATAATAATAATGATGATGATAATAAAATATTTTTATTTATTTACCCTTTTACCAGACCAAGATTCATTTTATAACAAAAAAAGCCCAGAGCCAGAAGGACAAGCAGTTATTAAAACAGTTTGTGTGTTTGTCACATGCTGTACTTGTCCAATCTATGTTATCATCCTTGTGAATATGCAAATTAGACCAACAATCCACAAATGGGTTTACAAACGTACAGCGTAAAATCTCAAAGCCAAGGAACCCAAGATTTAATACCCTTGGTGTTTATATTTTATGTCCCCTGGGTAACCAATTTCAGCTGTGAAAAGCCAATGAAGCAACAATGATAATTGTTTTGTGGTATTCCAGTTCAATTATAATGGCCAATTAGCAACAGAGTATTCATATGATATCACACTAAACATCACACATGACAGCCCTGCAGGACTGTGTCTCATCTCCATGTAGTCCAAGAGCATACAATCTAAAGAGAACCACCATCAGCCACCCTACTGAAGTGTGTGTGTGTGTGCGGCGTGTGTGTAAAATGAGAGACAGAGTGAGATCTCAGCAGTAAACCACAGAACTGACAATTTCTCCCATCCTATACACTCCTTTTTCTCTCCTCCTCTCTTTGTGATAAATGGTTCAGCACACACCGAATAAGCCAAAGTCTAGATTAGTTTGAAACATCATATAAGAATGAGGTGAGTTAAACAAGCATTACCTAGAAGTTATTTGTAGGATTGTGCTAGAGGTGCAGAAATGACATAATTCAGCTTTAAATTAGACGTTTTTAGATAAGAGAAAGTGCTGGGTTTTGGTCATTATGATTCAGTAAAGTATGTTTGAGAGCACTGAAGGGCTGTTGTCTCTTATCAGACTGTTGAAATGCAGGCAGTCAGAGGGCTTTTCTCAATGACATGCTGACTCTCCTAAAACGCACTCTCTAATTACCGTAGTAATGCCATGCTCTGGTTAAAAGTACTTTCAAAAGGAAGAATCTCAGTCTACTCATTCTAAAGCACCCACATTCAATTCACTCTCTTGAGAGACACTCTCACACACACTTTCTAATTGGGAAATAAGTTTGTGTTTTAACATGAGACACACGATCATGCATAAAAGCATAAAAAGACAAAAAGAGCTACACACACACACACACACACACACACACACACACACACACACACATATACACTTGTAAACTTGAATTCACCCAAAGAAAAGAGGACGTCAAGAAAAGAAAAAGAAAAAAAAAATCACCACATTTCAAATCCCACAATCATACGATTTCAAATCTGCACCTCACTGAAAACCTTCAAAAGTATGAGCCATCAGCTCTGACAGCCACTAAAGCTGTTCAGTTTGGAATCCATATTGCTGATGGATGGATGAATGAGATTCAATCACATTCTGCAACCGCATCCCAGACACCAGGGGATCCCCTTTTACTCTGATCTGAGATCAGTATCGGACTTCTGTCAGAGCTTTTGAATAAAGGGTGACTTTAAAAAAAGATTAACATTGTATTTTAACTAGAAGAATAAAATTAATGAACACTACAATGGACACATAAAAGAGCAATATAAGCAAGGGGAAGTGATTTAACTTTTGAAACAAATAAATAATGATCTTTATATTTTAGTCATGAACATGACAATGGAATGAATGAATGAAAAAGCCTTTAGCAAATGTCATTTTTATTTACCTATATATTTTCTTACAGTATGAGCTGTTTTAAATATGTAAATATACATTTATTTATTTAACATTTTGTAAGTAGCTATGCAAGTACTGGATGAGCAAAAAAGACACTGAAATATACAGTAATCAGGGAGGGGGGTTAAATGAGATTGGGCAGAGGTTAATTATTATTATAATTTTTTTTTTTGTTGGCATTTTTGACCATATGTCATCATTTTCACTCCAGCAACTAAGCAAACACACATATCCCTCAGCATGTGTTAATCTAGTGCACTGCATGGATGAGTGCATTTTAACACCACAGTCACACACTCTTTCGCATACTGTTTATGAGTCAGCATCACCATTCATATATTCATCTCACCACACAAAAACACATACACTGTACAGTAAGAGCTTTTCTACTGTTGCATTATGGATGTCAGATGATGATTTGACCATTACTCTAAGAGAAAACAATCTTTGTCACAACAAAAAGATAAACACATCTTTTAATCACACTGTGGCATTGTTTGGAGGTGTTAACGGAGTGCTCTTGGGCTGGGATTAAACTTTACTCATTGTACAGGCGCTGTATTAAACAGTACATAAAGTATCGAATGAAAAGTGTTTCTGTTTCTACATAAAAACGTCTGTGTATTTGACAAATATTGCACCTAATCCACTTCATCTGAGATAAAGGTTGCCAACACTGCAAGCTTCGCTGTGAGAAACTAAATTAAACTTTTTCATCACATCACCATTTTCAACTCCTTCCCCTCACAGATCAGTTAAATCCAGCCTCAGTCGAAGTCAAACACATCTCGTGGGATATTGTTTGGGGGTGTGGTTAAAGCTGTGATATTGTTTTGGCACAGGATGTCTGGACCATAATACAGCTTATATTTGCTGGGTTCTGCTCAGTTAGCCAGTAAGGGACAATCTGTATGACATAAAAAGACTGGGATATTTAGAGGTGAGAAGATATGAAACTACAGCAGTATAAAGCAGAATATAAGCAGGTTACCCATTTACATTACTTGTATCTAGTCAGTTTGCTGTCTTTGTCATCTCTTCAACATACCTTGGATAGAGTTTTTCTGTAAAGCATACACTCTAAAAAATGCTGGGTGGTTTTAACCCAACTTTGGGTCAAATATGGACTAACCCAGCCGTTGGGTTAAATTTTTACATTACATTTTTAACCCAACATTTCAGGTTTGTCCATATTTGACCCAAAATTGGGTTAAAACAACCCAGCATTTTTTAGAGTGTAGACACCACGTCTAAGAAACAGTAATTTTCAAATGTTAAAAACACTGAATAACATGTTTAAAAGTTTAATGTTGATTCTTCTGTAAAGGTGACCAAATCTAAAACATGACATTTACATTTAGATTTAGATTTATTCATTTAGCTGACGCTTTTATGAAGACGCCTGAAGAAGGTCGCAAGATAAATTGATGTTGCACAGTTTTTGAGTGTGCGTCTGCTACTTTTACAAATTATCCAAAGCGTCTTACAATTGCTATATATGTCAGAGGTCACACGAATCTGGAGCAACTAGGGGTTAAGTGTCTTGCTGAGGGACACATTGGTGTCTCACAGTGGATTCGAACTAGGGCTGGGCGATATGGCCAAAAAATCATATCTCGATATTTTTTGGTCAAATGGCGATATACGATATATATCTCGGTACATTCTACGTTTTCTATTTAGATAAAGAAAATCTATATATTAAAAAAAATAAAATAAAATATATATATATATATATATATATATATATATATATATATATATATATATATATATATATATACAGTATATTCACATTCGGCCCAATAATATCCTACAAACAATGTTGATATTGAAGGATATGGAAACAAATATAATATAGGCTATGCAATATATTATGTGCAAAAAGCTTTTGTTTTTATATTGACTAAAAGCTAAACTAAAAATGAAAATAAAAACAAAAACAAAAGCACAAACTGCATTTGATTACCCCATTATAATCACTTTCACTTTCATTAAAAATATATACTTGTAGGTTTAAAATTCCACATATGGCACATTTATTTTCTCCAACAACAAATATTTTAGCAATATGTTTATTTTAGTCAGAATTATTGCGTACTACGTACTACTATTCACGCGCATGCGCGCGCCGGCGCTCGTTCAAGGAAGCATGAATTTTAGCGGAGATTCACTTGCAGAAGCTCGTCCTCTTCTGACATGGACATATTTGTTGTGAAATGGACATATTTGCTTTACTTTCTAACATTTACAGATGGAGAATATGTGAAATGTAAGTTGAGCACTGAGGAAAGCACCACATCTCAAACGCATTAAACAGCGCAAGTATATCTGTCAGTCAGCAACAGTGTCTGTCAGAGCATTTGACAGGGCGGCAAGCTGCCTTAAACTTGTTAACTATATCAAAGTGATTTTGACGCAATTAATATAAGCTTGTGTCATGTTTAGGACAAATTGTACTACGTAGCCTAGCTACTTTCACTGCAGCAGCTCACACTGCAAACTCCGCTATTTTTCAGATGTGCTCATATCAAACTACTGTATCGATATAAACGGTATTGCCTCATTCCATATCGTTTCAAAAAATATAACGATACATCGTACATATTCGATATATCGCCCTGCCCTAATTCGAACCCAGGTCTCTCACACCAAAGGCATGTGTCTTATCCACTGCACCATCACCACCACATGGTTTGTTGCTTTCAAAAAAAAAGAAAAGATAAAAGTATTTTTCGATGTACATAGCTACTGTTAAATTGGCATCAGTGGAAAACCAACAACATCTGACTACTTGCCCTCTGCGAGCATCTTAATTTATCCAAAGATCAATAATCATTTCAAACAATCATTAATTATCCATATATTATAGAAATTGAGATTAAGATTTTAATAGTGTGGCAGAGGGGGCACAAGTTAAGCCTTAAAACCTAGTACATTACTTCCAGAAAGATCCAAACACAGAAAGAGACGTGGGACCCTGTGGACCCAAAACACCGACACACGCACGCACGCACAAACGCAACACAGTATTAATAACATCCTGTTTAAAATTCATCTGCAGAGATACAAGGCCAGCATAACCCAGATTCATAGGGAGAAAGTGT